AAAAAAATTCTCATCTATATAAATAAAAATCACCCACACACTTTATTAATAGCTTTGTTCACTTTTTCCCTGGGACTTGTGCTACATGTTCCTACTGTGCCCCCCTTTTAGTCTTTTTAAAGAAAACTTTCTATAAGCTTTCTTAAAAGCAAAATGGTTAGGTAATATTAGGAATTAAATAAAGTGTAAGATAATTCTTGCTAATTCCTACTAGACACAGATCTCTTGCTTGATCTTGTACTAGAACTAGTGCCTCTAAGTGTCCTTTTTACATTTAGTTACAAGGAGTGGCTTTTTCCCTAGATACAGTCAGTTTAACTTTAGAAAAGAAGGTGGTACTTTCATGGAAATAAGAATCATATATTTTATTTGTGATAATGTTGAGGGGGTTCTTTTAAAACACATATTTTTAGGGATATACCGCTATTGCTATGACTATAGGTAGGTACATGGTGAGAGCAGGAACACACCAGGTTGAAGTCTCAGCCTCTTTTCCTTAGTCTAGTTCAGGAGCCAGAAATGTGTGTGTTTTCAGGTATCATTTCTTGAATTCGTACTTCATAAGACTTTCCATATACTCCCCCAAAATATGTGGATAATGTACCAAAGTAATTAATAATGTCTCTAAATCTAACTACAAATTTGTAGGAAATACAAGGGCTAGAAGAACATATTAAATTATGTCACTGTTCAGAATGTGGGAAATTCTACAGGACAATGACTGAGTTTCTTCAACAAGTGAATAGTGGGTAATGGAGGAGAGGTTGCTAAATTTGTTTTATATGAAAAGAGACTTAAGATATGTATCAGTTATACATCAATAAAAAAAAGAGGGAGACTTAAGAGAGATATAAAATAAATGCAATGTGTGGACCTTGTTTGGATTCTAATCTGAACAATTATAAACATACTTTTGAGACTATCAGGGAAATCTGAATGTTGACTGGATATTAGATAGTGTCTTAAAACTGTATCAATAGCCCTAACCGGTTTGGCTCAGTGGATAGAGCGTCAGCCTGCAGACTGAAGGGTCCCAGGTTCGATTCTGGTCAAGGGCATGTACCTCGGTTGCGGGCACATCCCCAGTAGGAGGTGTGCAGGAGGCAGCTGATCGATGTTTCTAACTCTCTATCCCTCTCCCTTCCTCTCTGCAAAAATCAATAAAATATATTTTAAAAAAAATAAAAAATAAATAAATTTTAAAAACTGTATCAATAGGTGTAATAAAAGTTTTGGGGTTTTATTTTTAAGAAATAGTTATTAGTGATTTATATATCTGAGGTTTATTTAAAATACTCTTATCAAAAAAGAAACAAAGGAACTTGGAGTTAATAGATAAAACAAGAATGGCATAATATTGATAATTGTTGAAGCTGTTTGATGAATACCTAAGGTTTGTTACATTATTCTCTCTAGGTTGGAAATTTTCCATAATATAAAGTTATTAAAATACACACATACACAATGAAAGGGAAAAAATTGTTACCGCTGTAACAGTAAACAAAACTATACAGGGTGTTCCCAAAAAATTCATACACACTTTTTTCTGATAACTCAACTGATGTTTCTTTCTTTTCAGATTTAACTCTTGGAATTAATAATGATTCAAAGTATGTATACATTTTTAGGACACCCTATATTTATTTTAAGAACTAGGGGCCTAGTGCACAAATTCGTGCACCATGAATGGAACTGTGGGCTGCAAGGCTGCGGTGGGCACAGGGGCGGGTCTTGGCCCATCCTCCGGCCCCCGCCTGGCCCCTCCCACCACACCCCCAGTTCCCTGTCTTCTGGCAGCCCTGTTCCTGCCGCCGCTGCTCCCACGCTCTGACAGCATGGTCCCGCTCACACCTTCTGATGGTGCAGAGTGGTTGGGGCCAGCGCCCACAGCAGGTGCAAGCAGCGGCTCCGGCTCTGGCGCCGGCTCCATCTGCGAGCGGGGCCAGAGCCAGCAGTGGGTGCGAGCAGCAGCTCCGGTGCTGGCAGCAGATGCGAGCAGGGCCATTGCCAGCAGTGGGTGTGAGAGGTGGCTGCCGGCCTCAATCGCCCCTCAGGAGCAGGGGGAGGTGGAGAAGCCCTGAGGGGCGATTGGGGCCGGCAGCTGCCACTTGCACCTGCCGACAGCACCAGCAGCAGATGCGAGCAGCGGGCCGGCATTGGTGCGGGAGCAAGAATTTTCAGTAACCACCAGAGGCTTGCCCAATGACAGTGACTGGCGCCCCCGCTCACCTGCTCCACCATCCCACCACGGCCGATGCCTGCCATGTTCCACGTGCACCCCCTGGTGGTCAGCGCACATCATAGTGACTGGTTGTTCAGTTGTTCCGCTGTTCAGTCTATTTACTTATTTGGGTTTTATAGAGAGAGAAAGCTATTTAGTTTCAGCAAAGAGTACCATCCTGTAAATTAAATTAATGTTTTAAATTGGGGTGAAGGAGGAAAAAGCATTTCTAATACAGCCTTACCTAACACACAACTCAATCTCCTCTCTTCTCCCATGGAATACTTTAAAATTGTAGGAAGTAATTCTGTATTTGAAAGGAATGATGAACTTTAAATGGAAGATACACTTGTCCTAGTGCTAGCAGTGAAACACAGAGTGCCTTTGCCTTTAGCAGTAGTGTTCTGCCTGTGCCATTTGTGGGAATAACTTGGAACTGCTGTCATCAAATTGTGAAGTCAGTGGTATGGCCTAAAGGCCAGAACTTCCCATATTATTCTCTTATAAAATACTCATTTTACTACAGAAGATTCTTAACCTTCCATTGCTTTTGCTTCATTCTATAAAAAATGAACTCTTGCAATGAACTCTTGCAATGAATGAATAGATTAAACCCTTTACAAACATAATTTTGTACAACATAATTCACCTTCTGGGAATTTTTTTCTCCTGAGACACTGACTTCATGCTATTCTTTTAGTGGAAATAGTCTGGGTCTAATCAGAACTGAATACCATAGTTGCAATCAGTACTTTAATGCTTACTCATACCACAACAACAAAAAGTTTGCAAAATTAATTAATGTTGAAAACAGTTTCTCCAGTGGACCTGGTTTTGTAAGTTGAAACATTGGTTTTCATGCTATGGAGGCTTAACTCATCCTGGCTTACAAAATCTAGAGAGGAACTCTCGCAAATCTACATTTTAAAACAAGTGCCCTTTTTCTGGATTACCTAGAATTATTCTGAAGTAGTGATTTTTGGCTCTGGTTGGTGTGGGTCATTTGGTTGGGCGTCATCCTGTGCACTGAAAGGTTGTCGATTTAATTCTTAGTCACGGTACATGCCTGGGTTGCAGGCTCCATCCCTGATGGGGGGGGGGGGGGTTGTGCAGGAGGCAGCCAGTCAATGTTTTGCTCTCACATTGGATGTTTCTCTTTCTCCCTCTCCCTTCGCTTCTCTAAAAATCAATTAGAAATCTTTTTTTTTAAATATATTTTATTGATTTTTTATAGAGAGGAAGGGAGAGAGATAGAGAGTTAGAAACATCGATGAGAGAGAAACATCGATCAGCTGCCTCCTGCACATCTCCTACTGGGGATGTGCCCGCAACCCAGGTACATGCCCTTGACCGGAATCGAACCTGGGACCCTTCAGTCCGCAGGCCGACGCTCTATCCACTGAGCCAAACCGGTTTCGGCTAGAAATCTTTTTTAAAAGTAGTGATTTTGCATTTGAACATATTTGTAAAATCTTTATTTCATTATATCTAATAGTGTATTATATCAACTAAATTTTGAGTTCTCAGAGAGTTATTTGTATCAATTTAACTCTACCTAACCACTGTCACAGTAACATGAACATATAAAGACATCTTACTAAATATATCTTAATTAAATCTGAATTATATCTTTCAAACTGATGATATAAGAGCTTTAAGTACAAAAATATCTACTAGAGGCCCAGTGCACGACATTCATGAGGGGGGTCCCTCATCCTGGCCTGCACCCTCTCACAGTCTGGGACCACTCGGGGAATGTCTGCCTGCCGGCTTAGGCCCGCTCCCCGCATTAGTCGGACATCCCCTGAGGGGTCCTTAGCGCTGCTGCGGAGGCGGGAGAGGCTCCTGCCACAGCTGTTGCACTCACCAGCCATGAGCCCGGCTTCTGGCTGAGTGGCACTCCCCTGTGGGAGAGCACTGACCACCAGGGGGCAGCTCCTGTGTTGAGCATCTGCCCCCTGGTGATCAGTGCACATCATAGCGACAAGTCGTTCTGCCGTTCGGTCTATTTGCATATTAGGGTTTTATTATATAGAATTCTATGTTACTTATTTTTAGTATATATTATGTGACCAAAAAATAGCTCACTTTTCAGTTTGGGATTTTGCAAATGTGGAAATAGCAGCTTGTGAAAAATATAACACTTACAAACCTGTAGCCAGCCTGAAATTGCTTTTCACCAACATGACACTACTAACTAGAAATTTCAAACTCTGGAGGTCTGTATACACACATGCACAAAATTAACCGAAGTACTTATAGAAACCATATCGATAGCGCGTGCATGTGTATTTTGTTGATAATTAGCAACCACATGACAATGTACTCAGTATTGATAGCTGATAAATAAGGGTGAGGAATTAGGAATTGGAAACTAGAATAATAAATTGCTTGGGTGCCTTTAAGTGTCTTTTTTAAATTGAATTCTTACTAAAATAATAACTATTATAAGTTCAATAGCCGTTTTTTTATCATTTTGCTTTTATTTCACACTAGAAACTGCCAAGCAGATAACATCTAAATGTATCTTTTTCAATATGACAAAGTTACACGAGAAGAGAATCCCCTAGCACGTAAAGAAAAATGCAATTATTTTCTATTCTGAATCTCCAGACTGCTGTTTTAGAAAATCATATCTGATTATTTGCTCAGCAGAAGATTATTGAGTTGATTTAGCTGTGATTTTACTTAACAAAGCTTCAACTGCATTCCTACTGTGGAGTCCGAAAAAGGTAGAGAGATATAAATGATACATTCAAACTGTGATTTTTGTGAACAGGCCCATCGATGCACCCCTCGGAGCTAATAGCGGAGATGAGAAACAGTGGGTTTGCACTGAAACGAAATGTACTGGGGAGAAACTTGACCGCAAATGATCCATCACAGGTAATGATCTTTTTATCAGTAAGCTGAAAATGCCTAAAAATCTAAATGTGATTGCTTGTGAATTGCTACTTAATGTTTTCCAATATGCATATATCCATAGGAAAGCAAGATAGAGCAAAGAAAATGCCTAAATGTATTTTGATTTTGCTTTATTATTTTAACTTAAATGAGAAATTGTTTTTAAACCTATATTTTAATAAATGAAACTGCTCCTCTGGGTTTATGTGGATGAAATATCTTAACTGAACTGGTGATGAGATGGTTTTTTCCTTCTTGCTAACTTACCACTGAAGTGACATAAATAGAACCAATGGGAAGAAATGTATAAAAGAAAACTCCTAAAAAGTATAGAAAATATTTTAAGCATTAATTTATAAACTGTACATAGATCCAGGAAATGGTGTAGATACCCTAATGCAAACCGTTTAGTTTATTTAAATGAGGAAAGTGAAGCCCAGGGCAGTTAAGTGATTTCCCTGAGGTCATGTTTTCTCTTCTGAGACAGAGCTGAGACTAAAACCCAGACTCCCACTGCTGTAAACTTGTGCTGCTCTGAAAAGAGGCACATTACCTTTCAAACATTACTAGGGATTATTCATATAACATAATAATCATATTTGTACTATTTGATACATTGTATATGAATTGCTAATCATATATTTGATAATGTACTGTTGAAATTATAAAGGCTAAAATTGTGGATGTTTTCATCTTCCCCAAAACTTAATGATCTTCTTGGTTTTAATATTTCATTTTTAAAATAAAATACTTAAACCCTCAAGTATTTAAATTCAAACTCAAGAGACAGAAACATTTTATCTGTTTCTCTATCATACTCTTCCTGATTAAAGTTTGTTAGTGCTGGCAAAGCTGTCATCTTACCCTCTTAGTGTGTAATGATACTCCTTAATTTACATGCTCCCCCCACATACACACACACACACACACACACACACACACTTTCCAATTCAAAATGTCACATTCATCTACAGTATGTCTCTAATACAAAATTTCTCATTTATAAATATTTTCTTTCATGTCTGATAACTAACTTGTCTGATAATCTAGCAATGTAATGATCTTTGTTGCCTCAGGAATATGTTGCAAGTGAGGGTGAAGAAGATCCAGAAGTTGAATTTTTAAAGTCACTAACAACCAAACAAAAACAGAAACTTCTCAGGTAATGAAAAAATATATGTTTAATTAATTCTGTTACATTTTTTTGCATGTTCCATCTTTGTATCATATTCAACTCTTATCCCAAGAGCTCATGAAGGTACTTAAACCACTGTATCACATTTATTTAATGATTTATTCTTCAGCTATAGTAATACAGTTTTGTCTTTCTTTCAGTAATATGAAAATGAATCTAAGATTATACCACACACAAAAAAAGCACTTTTCAGAATATTTAATTTGGAAATAGATTTATTTGTAGGATTTACTTGGTATAGATTTGTATATATCTTTGCAGTTTATTCTTAGAAAATATTTTGGGCCATGTATTGCTCTTTTATATCTTGTAAGATTTTATGAGGAATGCTGACAGATGCTTAAATTTAAGGTAAATATGAATCTTGTTAAACATACCACCTTTGGATTAAAGAATCCGAGAAACGTCTGCTGAGTCCAATAGAGGGAGCTCATGCTGTGGGTGTTGAGAATTGCTAGACAAAACCAGTGAAGGACATTTTCATTCCAGAGTGACTTAAACAAGTTACTCTTCTGGGAATGTGAAGTACTCTTTAGAAATTCAGAATGCCTTAATAGAATTATTCTAATTATTTATAAATCTAAACATTGTTGAAAACCAGTATGTGATTATTTTGTTTTATATAACCAAAAATCAGTATAAAAAATGTAAAGTGTATTCTTATTCAGAATTTCTGGAGAATATATCCTTGAATTTTGATAATGTAATATTGATTAATATTCCCATAATTTAAAATAGTACATACATAAAATTGTTTTTCTCTGATTATAGTTAAATATTTTAGTTTGTAGTAGGTCCAATTAATGAATGTTAACAAGCCTTTAGGTCAGGATAACCATTTATTTAGAGTGCTATATCATTTCAAATTCTGATTCAATAGGGATTTTTTTAATAGTGAGAGAATTATCTTAATGCATTTAATTTCTTATTTATATTTAATATGTATGTGACTTGAATAATTTAAGAGGAAGAAAATAACTTGTCATTTAATAAAGTATGTGTTTATATTTGAATACCTCTTTCAGTAGCTTCTAAGAAAATATATTATCTGTTCAAAACTTTGTCAATAAAAGGACTATTTTTAGTCTCTTACTTTTTTTCCCAATTATAGGAAATTGGATCGACTTGAGAAGAAAAAAAAGAAAAAGAAAAAAGATAGAAAAAAGAAAAAGCTTCAGAAGAGTAGAAATAAACACAAAAAACATAAACATAAATCTTCCTCCTCCTCCTCCTCTTCTTCCTCTTCCTCCTCCTCCTCCTCTTCTTCCTCCTCCTCCTCCTCCAGTGAGACTTCAGAAAGCAGCAGTGAGAGTGACAACAAAGAAAAAAAAATACAAAAGAAGAAAAGAAAGAAAAACAAATGTTCAAGAAATAAAAACAATGATGTAGGAGAAAAGGACAAGTCTAAGAAGAGAAAACTTTATGAAGAACTTTCTAGCAATCATTGTAATAAGGAGGAAGCCAAGGAAGAGCCTAGATTTTTAAAACAAGGGAGTTCTAGGGAGACTGGCAAATGGAATCATTCTAATTTTGACAAAACGTCCAGAAGCCATAACCACAGCCCAGAGAAGAGAGGATCTGAAAGAATTGAGAGGAGCAGAAGAAGCCAGAGCAGAGATGAGAGGAGCAGAAGAAGCCGGAGCAGAGATGAGAGGAGCAGGAGAAGCCGGAGCAGAGATGAGAGGAGCAGGAGAAGCCGGAGCAGAGAGGAAAGGAGCAGGAGAAGTGGGAGCAGAGATGAGAGGAGCAGGAAAAGCCGGAGCAGAGATGAGAGGAGCAGGAGAAGCCGGAGCAGAGATGAGAGGAGCAGGAGAAGCCGGAGCAGAGATGAGAGGAGCAGGAGAAGCCGGAGCAGAGATGAGAGGAGCAGGAGAAGCCGGAGCAGAGATGAGAGGAGCAGGAGAAGCCGGAGCAGAGATGAGAGGAGCAGGAGAAGCCGGAGCAGAAGTCATAGTAGTTACAAGCAAAGGAAAATAAGAAAACGGTCTTAGCAAAGTCCCAGTTAAGAGCGGAATAGAAGAAATGATACCAGAAGCCACGGCACAGATATATACAGAGGAGGAAAAATGCACAAAGAAAATTCGGGAGATAAGCATACTAGAGTGACAGAGAAAGAATGAAGAAGTAGAGAGGATAGAGACTGCATGTGACAATTAACTGGGAATAAAAATATCTCTACTTATCAAATACTTCTAGCAAGGGCTAATATGTATTATTGTCTTTCTAATAAAAAAGCTCTATTTTAGTTTTCAATCTCTGTAAACTGTCATATCAAAAACAAAACTACATAAATCTCATAAGAATGAACTTTGCAAATATTTGTAAGTAATCTATTTTGGAGCTGTAAAAATATTTTCTGTTGGTAAGTATTTCTTGTGCGCGCTATACCAGATTAAAAAAAAAAAAACACAAAAAAACTGTGACATTGTCTTTCTTCTGAAACATCATTAAAAGAATGACAGCACAATTGAATGGTTTAATTTCAATTTATTAGAAGCAAAATGTAAACATTATTGAAATTCACTAGTATGAATTAAATATTGGGTTGATCAATATTTCTTTAAAACTCCCTTATGTGTTTTGTTCTCCAGAGCACGCTATTTACATTTGGGTGATATATTAATTTTCTATGCTGCCATAACAAATTACCTCAAACTTAAAACAATACAAAAATATTCTACAGTTCTAAAATGGGTTTCACTGGAGTAACATAAAAGCGTCAGCAGGGTTGGTTCTTTCTGGTTCTTTCTGGAGGCCCTACTGGAAAGAAAACCTTTTTGCTCGCCTATTCCAGCTTCTAGAGCAGCCGTGGGCAAACTACAGCCCGCGGGCCGGATCCGGCCCGTTTGAAATGAATAAAACTAAAAAAAAAAAAAGACCGTACCCTTTTATGTAATGATGTTTACTTTGAATTTATATTAGTTCACACAAATACTCCATCCATGCTTTTGTTCCGGCCCTCTGGTCCAGTTTAAGAACCCATTGTGGCCCTCGAGTCAAAAAGTTTGCCCACCCCTGTTCTAGAGGCATTCCTTGGTTCCTGGTTCCTTCTTCCATCTCCAAAGCTAACAAAGGCAAGTCGAGCTTCACATCTAATCACTCTGACACTTTGACATTCTTCATCCCTCTTCTTTTTTATGGACCCTTGTGATGATAATGAGTCTACCAGGAGAATTGTCCTATTTTAAAAATCAATTTGCAACCTTAATTCCCCTTTGCTACTTAACCTAACATCTTCTCAGGTTCCAGAGATTAGGATGTGTATATCTTTAAGGGACCATTATTCTACCTACCACAAATGGTCTTTCTACTACTGGCTTACAGCTATTAGAATTCACTTCTAAAGGTTAAGTATTTATGTAATGTCACAAATGGACCAAAGTAAATTCTTCAGCTATATTTTATGACTATAGGTATATAAGGTTTATTTAAACTTTTCCTTCGTGTTTCAAATGATCTGGTAAAAAGAAACTATAGGGAAAAAAGTAGTACAAATTACAAGTAACATGCAATTCTAAAAAAGATATACTATACATCCTGGACACAAGTATTTTTATCAGGGTTCCACATTTTTTAAACATGTTATATAATACAATACAGATATTGATTAGGTGGTTTTGAGGGTTGGCAGCATAATTTTGTAAATTCAATAAGAAATAAGTTTGGAAGAAGAGGTAAATGAAACCACTCCTTGTAATCTGTTATATATGTCTGCATCTTGTATATCACACACGAATGTCCTCTGATTTAGAAGCAACTAAAGGTATAAGAAACGCTCTGATTATTTAGATTTTTCAGAGAATTGGTGGGGAAGAACTTGAATTCCTTCTAAAGTTATTCTTTAATAACTTACAGTGCACCTAAAAGATCCTTTTCCTTCATTTAGAAAAAACATGCATTTGAAATGGATAAAGACTTCTAATTTACATCTTTGAATTCATTAGTGTTGCACTAATTTTCTCTTATGCCTTTTTATACTTTATAATGTCAAAATCTATGCAATATCTACTGCCTTAAAGGATTTCTGAAGGGAAATATAGTGTTCATGAAGAGAAATGTTGAAATGCATCCTGTTATTTAAAATGAATTAAAGAAATACATTATTTTTTACACTTTTTTCATTTGACTTTTACAAAAGTGTAGTCCTCTTTTAATTTGATGTGGCTGTAGGAATTTTTTTTTTAAATCTCTGGTTTAATTATCCTTCATTGTTAGACTGAAAAATATAAACTGATTTACCAACTTATCCATCCAATGGTGAGAAAAATTCCCATGTATTTATGGAAGATACTGATTTACTATTTGGCTTTTTGCCTTGGTCACCCAAAGGTGCTAGACAGCCCCAAGGTATATCAACCTTGCAAACTTAAAAACTGAAAGAAGACATTTCACATATCACAAAGTAAGAGCTTTAAAGATGCTCGCCTTTTCTGCATACTCTTGATATGGATAAAAGGATTTGAAAGTGATTTTTAAAATAAAAATGTTAGACATCTAATTCTACTTTTGCTTTTGAAATGTAAGGTCGAACTAGAGAGAAACCTCATAATTAAAGGATGTCTACTTGTATGTGTAGAGCGCCGCCTAATACTATAAACCAAAAAGAATCCTTCAAGTATAATGAATATTTAAGAACAAGAGTCCTCAACAGTGACATTTTGAAGAACCACAGGAAAAGTCTGATGATGTTTGTCATTCTTACTCTCAATAGAAAAATTATTTTAAAGAAATATGGGTGTGCCTGGTGACATTTGTCCAGGGGCCTGGAAACACACTGACAGACTCAGGAGACATGTTGGGGGCACTCCCCTTTTCCCTGGCCTTACACTTAACATCATTTAACACTAGCAAATTAATTCCTGTAGGAGGTGCTGTTGATTTACAAATGGCCAGGATGGATCGGGTTCCTAGGTTAGGACTTGTTTACTTACCTGAATGTTATGTGGTTAGTCATCATTTCATTTAATAAATGTGCCAAAATAAGCAGAGTTTGCTTCAGCAGAGTGGCAGGTCGGCTTACCTTGCAATGTGGAGTGGAGATCTTGTCTTGAATCATACAGTTTTAATCTGAAAAAAGCTTTTAATCTGACAGGCTTGGGGAGACGTATCTTGCTGTGCTTCCGTGAGACCGCTAGCTGATAGTGAATCAGATCAGTCCCCGCTGCTGGGAGCACAGCGTTTTCCAGTTTTAATCACCAGCCATTTACTACGCTTTAGCATTGACGCTCAAAAATATTTCCAAAATCCACCTGAGCCATTTCACTCACCTCCTTACCTAATGACCACTGGGCCCAGAAGCTGTTGGAAGGTGCATCCTCCACACCCTGTGCTTAAGATCAGGAAGAAAGCTGCATTGCAACTTCAGTAGCTGAAGGATATCTAGAAATCTTACTTCGGTTTTCTGAAAAGGAAACTTTGGTAGTTACCACTTCTTGAAAAGAGATAAAGGCATGCACTAACTGTAGGCCTTGAGGCTGTTTATTGGATCAAAAAGGAGAAATCCTTTTAAAGAGTTGTGAGGAACAAATAAGATGACCAAAAAAAGGTAAATGTCACCTCTCGCCAGCAATCTGCAACTCTCAGATTTGGGAAATCCGCTGACAGCTGAGAGCTCCTGATGAGGTCCCTAAGGCCCGGTCCTGCCTCCTGCCGACAGAAAGGAAACAGGTACTCATCACCTCCCCTCTTCCTCCTCCCTTCTTGCCACACTTACCACCACCCTCAGAATGTAACAGTAATAATGAAGCCAGCTGCCCGATGAAACGCAGGAGCTGCCATTGGTGTCATGGAAAGACACGCACATTCTGGCCCAAACTGCCCGTGAGCCAGTTTCTTTGACCCCGTGGGCAGAAGTGGAGGTCTGGGGGCTCGGTCGCTGGCCAAAGCGACGCTTCTAAGGACCTCGCCCTAAACCCAAAGGAAGCCAGAAAGGGGCTGCAGTAGGTGCTACAGTGATTGATTCCATCCCCCGAGGCAATGCCACCCCTTCGTGCTACGCTGCTTTCCTTCTAGACCGCGGTTGGAAACCTTCTGAACGCACCTCAAATCCAAATGGAGAGGTTGAGAATTAGGGGGCGCATTCTTCGAAAAGATGCACCCCAAGCGCAAGGCAGCCGCTGGATTCCCCACCCGCAAAGTGTAAGGGTTTAGCTCACAGCAAGGGTTCCCTCGCGCCCCACGCCGGTGGCCTACCCAGAAGAAACTCCCGGGCCACCCGCCGGGCTGCGGGCCACAGGCGCTGCGCCCAGGGGACCAACGCGCCCCGCCGGTTCCCGCCTAAGCTCGCTTGGCCTCCAGCGCGTTTCTTCCACGCAGGTCGGAGGGCGGACTCGCCTTTGGTAGTCAGGAAATCGAGCGAATTCCTCTCGTCGCTCGGGCTCCACAGGTGCAGAGGGCGCCTTAGGACGCCTCTGCTAATCTCACTCCTGGAGCAAAAAGGAAAGTGTCATCTCTCGCCAGCAATCTGCAAGCAGAAAACGGCCTGGGGGAGACACCCGATCCCTTTGCATTGCTTTATATATGAGTTATCCCGAAATAGATGTTTGCAAAACAATGCAAAATCTCTGTTATGAATTTCCAAAGAAAAAGTACAAGGGTGTTGGAAAAGCTAAAAACTTGGGTTCTTTTCTTTCCTGGATCCCTGAGAACAGGCCCCGGAACAGGACCCACGGACATTCTGAAACCTTCCCTTTAACTGGAGTTGCAAACACAGTGTATATATTTATATCAGTAACATATAGGGAAGGCATGTCTGTATGTATTTACCTCGTACATATTCCTATAAACTCTTGAGTCTAGAAAGGGTGGGGGGTAAATAACACTGAACGGTAAAAATTATGGAGAAGGGATAATAACTGATTACTAATTTGAAAGTAAATAAACAGGTGACTTTTTCAGATCAAATTCCTCCTTGGATCGTTACAATAAATATCTCTGAAGGAAGCTCTCTATTTATGTTGTCATTGATTAATTCTTCACTACCTCATTTGAT